AGCGCCCCAGCCGGCATTTACTACGGCCACGTTGTCCGGTATTTTGAAGCCCTGGGAGACGATGGTAGCCTGCTGGATGACAGGGGAGTAGACTAGTGAGCCCCGGAGCCGTACTACAGCGATGTCACCGTCATGACCCAGACGGCCCCAGGTAGGATGGACGAACTCCCTGTCTATGTATACCACTACTCCACCCACATGCTGGACCGCTGTGCCCGCTCTGATGCGGCGTCTAGATGGCGCGTACAGGCTGGAAATAAATTCGTGTTTTAAATTTGGTACCTAGGAATAATTTATTCCACTAGTTTTTTAACATCCTGTACGTCTTTTATTTCAAACACCACTTTAAAAACAATAGAGATCTAAAAACAAGCATATAGCAGCAGTAGTCTTATCTACTTTTGAGACAATAGCTGAAGCCTTAGTTGCCATTAGTGCATTTGAATTCGGATATTTGCATTTGAAATGTACAGTTTTTTATAATGAAATGCGGATGAAGCCGTACGGCAACATCTAGTATGTCATACTTACAAACCGCTGAAGCAATGTGCGGCAGATAGGATGTATCTGGTAGTTAGAATGTTGGCCCCACAGGATTCTACCCACGTGTTCAATATGCTAAGAGCATTTACTTGCACCATAGAAGGATATTTTTCAATAGGAGCCGGCTGACCCCCCACTATACGACCGCCCTCAGTTTCTATCGCAATGCCTAAAAATGGATAATAACATATAATAAATGTATAATATACAATAACATTAATTCGATGCTATAGCTTTTTTATAATACAAGAGGGGTTAATGGTTTGTTTCAATTGAATTGATTTTTTATATTTTCGAATAAAATCACTGGTGAAACATCAAACGCCAAATAATCTCTAAGATACTTTTTACTATCACCAGCGTACGTCTCGACTAAGAGAGCCTACCCTTAAGTGGTGACTATGAGTCAACCACGCTGGCCGACTACGTTTATTTCGTTCGTTCCCTGACTATTTTCGCTGAAGTGTGCAAGTTGCATCAAGATGTTTTCCTTCGCCATAAAATACTTACCTGCGAGTAATAATACGAAAATAAAATATTTAAACGACGCCATCTCGTGTCTGGTTGTAGCTTGTGTGGCCGCTTTAGACTGGCAATTAAAGTAATTTGTAAATACTGCTGACTATTTATACCTAAAAACCGATAAACGATATCTTTCTGTCAAAATAAATTAGGTGTTTTTGATATAGAGCTTCGATGTAAGACAAACAAGAGAGAAAATTCTGCCATAATGTAAATATCTATGTCTATCAATGAGAAATTTAACCTATCCTGTTGAAATCTAGTAATTTAAGCACACTGCACAATACACACACAGACTCGCCTCACAAAACACACATACACCACACAAATGGACGACATTCCGTATCAAATAGCCAAAAATGTCATCCAAAAAAAAAGATCAGCGATACACTCCACACCTTTTTGATCTAATTAGGTTAAAAAAAACCTATCCTGTTGTCCGGCTAAAGTAAATTTTAAGAGGCAGTGACCAATCATTGGCTGGTTTGAGGACACTAAGAAGAGGAAAGAAAACTAATTCCATGTTGGTTGGAGTTGTTAATTCTATAGTTAAAAATCTATTTCAATAAACCTTATAACTGTTTTTGTATATTCATCATCATCTGTCTTTATCTTTTAAATTCTGGTTTTTATCAAATTTATCGACATTATAAGCTATATCACGTGTTTCAAATTTTGATCCTTAGGCAGAGATTTGTCGAAGGAAGGGGAATATTAAAGTTTTATACGTAAAGTACTGCTTATTTGATAAAAGAAGGCGGAACACCGAATTCTGAAGAAACCATGGCAAGGCTTATGCCCAACAGTGGGCAGATATAGGCAGATAATGGTAATGATCACGATTATGATTGCTCCAATTTTGAAACTATTATACCACTGATCAGTTTAAATTGATAGGTAACAAGAACACGGGAACAAAAAAAAACAGATAAGATTAACATCAAAGCTCAACAAACAATTTATTAGTAGTAAATCCACAATAATCATTAAACAGCTGTTGCCACAATCCAGTCAGTGTATGAGGCGACAGCGGCGTTGACTCCTGGGAAGGTAGCGTTGGCGCAGCCCTCGCCGAAGGAGACGATTCCTACGAGAATGTTGCCGTAATACAGCGGGCCACCGGAGTCACCTTGACAGGCGTCTTTACCACCGACGTCAAGAAGACCAGCGCATATCATGTTCTCGGTAACGATGTCTTGGCGGGGAGAATTCTTGTACCTTTCCGTACACACTTCGTTGTTGACAGTGTAAACTGTTGTGTCCAGCAGGATATCAGAAGATGGCCCATTAGACTATAAAAACATCGGGAATAAAGTTAATCGCGCTAATCTTGAAGTTATTGCCCCAATTTCATTCTAATATTCGTATGATACTGTCTTGAGAACTGGCATGTAAGGTACTACTCCATTTTATTGGCATATATTCAATTACATCAAATATTTCCAAATATATAACGCATACTAACCCACATAGCACCCCATCCAGCGTATACGACGGGCACATTGTCTGGTATTTGGGAACCTTGAGCGACAATGGTGGCTTGCTGGATGACAGGGGAGTAGACCAGAGATGACTGTAGCCGGACCACGGTGATATCACCATCCATACCCAAGAGACCGTAGCTGGGATGGTTGAATTCCCGCTCCACGTACACTACCATGCCTCCAACGTGCTGCTCAGCCGTACCCGCCCTTATACGCCGTCTGGAGGGCGCGTACAGGCTGGAAATATACTTCAGTCAGTCGACGGCAACGTATTTTTATAATTCTATATTCCTCTATTTTTTCAGCCATGAGATTGGTACATTTGATGACTTCAATGTATTAATTTGAGCCGTTTTTATTATGTAACTAATATTTCAGAATAAAAACTATCAAGACACAAGACAGCAGTGGTAGTGCCCGCTTTAACATCTTAGCACTGCAGGGCCGGCACGCCCTGTGTAATACCACGACCAAACAGAAGATAGGCGTGAAATGGAAGCAATTCCGTGTTTCGTCTGATGATTGCGGTGCCAGAGGCCTAATTTAAGTCCCTTTCTCTTTAACACCCTTTTCTTATAAGGAGAGGATGGGAACGGGAAGTGGATTTGACGGTAGAGGAGATGCATAGGAAGGGGAAATATCCTCTTTATGTGCGTCTCCTCCTCCGTCGGATAAGGGTAGGCAACGCATCTGCAATTGCGGATGTTTATGGGCAGCAGTCGCTTCGCCATTTTGGATGATTCAGGTGGCCGCTTGCTCGTTTGCTACCATATGTTATAAAAAAAACGTAGTTTTTGGATATGCGTCACGACTTTTCAGTGATACACGCACACGTTTAACAAAACTTTCGCACAACGCTGTGCGATTGTCGATTGTTTCGAAGCCAAAACTATTCAGTTGCACAACTAAAAATCGAGTAGTTTGTGCACCTCCATATTAGCTCATAAGAATCAAAGCGCGACTAAACAGTTGTACGTGTAAGTGTTGTTTAGTCAAAAGTGTGCGGGCGATTGAGGTTAAAACCTGACAATGCTGTTTCCTTACAATCCGTGGAAGCAATGTGCAGCGGAAAGAATGTATCTTGTAGTAAGAATGTTCGCCGCACAGTATTCTACCCAAGCATTGCTGATGCTGAGGGCATTTACTTGGACTATTGCAGGGTATCGTTCAATGGGGGCCGGCTGACCGCCCACGATACGACCGGTCTCAGCGATGACCGCTATGCCTGGAATCAAATACGACCATTATGTAAAATCTAAAATAATTGCGTAGAGATATTACAATGCTTTTAAAGAATGAAGAAAATAAATCTATGTAACAGTTCAATTAGTGTCCATAAAAATAATTTTAATGCAACATTATCTCAGAATAATAGAGGTTAATTTTATTTATTAAATATCTTGTATAAATATGTGAAATCAAATGGTTAAAATTCACACAAAACAGACAGAAATCACACAATAAAGGCGTTAATCTTTTACTATTAATAAAACATTTAGGAATAGTTTAAAAAAACAAATATAAAAAAAATAATGCAGATTACCTGCGAGTAACAACATAAACAGAAAAACCTGTGAAGTCGCCATCTTGGGTTCTATCACTTCGACCTCTTATTGATTTTAATTCAATTTTAAACTGTCACAGACAATTTATACTTGAATTATACATTATCTGTTATAATCTAAATATCTAAGCAATAACCCAACTGTTAAGTTATTAGCTAGAGATATCAACTCTTGCGTAAAACGCTTCAAAACGGAAAGATATCCTATATCTTTAAAACTCCGATATCCGATTAATAAATAATTACTGATAATAGATTTAATATGTCTCGTCTTTTTCACCAAATATCTTTCATAAAAATCGTAGATTCACAAGAACAAAAATCATCAATCAAAAAAGAAATCAAAAGGATTTTAATTGTCGATTGATATCCAATACAACTGTTTAGTTGTACAACTAAAAATCAAGTAGTGTCTCATGTGCGATATTTTAGTCAAAGTGCGAGTTCTGAATGTATGAAATCAGAAAAAAGATGAGTGTTACCAGCGTTAATGGTCTAGAGCTTGCTCTATTTAGTGACATATTTAAATGACATTACCGTTTCTCGATGCGCTGGGATTTTTTCCCATTGGGCCGATCGCAACCTTTAATCCATAGAATCACTCGACCCAAAAGGATACACTAAATGTTTATTAAATGAAAGCAGAGTTTTATATTTTATTTTTATTTCTATTAATGAAATTAAAAACCATGAAAAGTTACAGTCATATTTTGTCGTTTAGAAAAGAAGCAACGTTGGAAAAAGAAGTGAGTTAACATAAAAGTGTTGCCATGATACAAACACATTAAAATACTAAAATCTTAGTGCAATCGCACAGACTATAAAAAATACATGTTCAATATGTATTGAACACCAAATGATAACATTTTTCACACTACAATATTCGGTGACTCGGCGCCTAACGTCCGTCTCATAAAATATCGGCTAACTACGTTCGTGGTGCACTGATCGCCCGTCGGCCGCATTATTCATGTCCAGGCAGACTTTAAACAAATATAGACGAGGCATAGAGAACGATTTTTTTCACTGGTACTTTCTCTGAAAGGTACTATTAGTCGTCAAGTTTAGTGACACTTTATGTACTAGTATTGACATGTTATAAAACATTCTAGAAAATAACGATAAACTTCATATTTTGTTATAAAATAAACATTTAAATATACCTATAAACAATTAAAGGATCTGTCAATAGATTGCGTTAGTGAGATTATGTGAAAAATGTCTCAAGTGAAGTATAATTTATGCCTTCTCTATGTATTTTTTGTAACTCTGTGTATCCAGGCTAATAAGCCAGGTGAGCGGCGCGTCACTCGTTAAATTAGACCTGGTATTCTCGGGATGCGTTTGATCCGAAGCATATTTGCCGTGCACCCGCATATATGCATGCATGTGCGCGTGCATATAAGCATGCATGCGTGCGTACATATGCATGCATAAATGAGGTTTAGAATATAGCTCCGGTCTGTATTTATGTTACTAATCGTTTTGAATGTTTTGTTGTTTTAAAGGTGAAGTAACCTAGTTGACATTTCTTGCATACTTCAGTACTCAAAGTTATTTAATGCATATGCAGTGCCAGCGGTAGATTTTACACACTTATTTTGTAACTAGACTTTGCAGGCGACTTTTTCTGCGTCTAGTAAAAAGCCTTTGTGATTTTTTTAAAACTAGTTAATATCTACAATTATGAGTTTCTTCGAGATGAGTTGAACCATCTTGTTTCATCAAAAAATTAATAAATTACTAGAAGAATAGTCCCTTGTTAATCATTCGGTTTAAATATTAATTTATGTTTGACGTACAAAAGGATAATTCTTGTTGCATATTTACAACTGCGTTAGTTCAATCATTGATATTGATGTAACTCGATTTGTAATGATTAATTTATAGACATTATCTCTGTGGGCTCGCGGAGTGGATTGTTGTCGGCCGTCAGGTGGCGCTGGCGCCGTCTGACTGCAACATCGATCAAGACGATGGCCAATTTATTCGCATCTTACGAGACCATAAAGTACACAAATTGAATTGGCCGATCTCCCGCACTCGGTTACAAAAGTGCTTCCGTAATGTTACTATGGAAGTAGTTGGTTTTAGCGCACCTACAAATTTGATTAAATACGGAATTGCGATTGTCGATTGTTTCGCAGCCAATTCAACTGTTTAGTTGGACAACTAAATTCGAGCGCATCTCTATATAATCTCATAGGAATCAAAGTGCGACTAATCATTTCTGCGATAATTGAGTCAAGTGTGTCCGCTCTTATGCGTGACCTTCCTTACAATGTTAACATGATAAATTTAGAGAGAGAGAGAAAGAGAGAGAATTTTAACAGTGGTAAAGCCCGCTTTAACATCTTCGCACGAATGGGTCGGTTTGCCCGGCGTAATGCCACGACCGCACAGAAGACAGGCGTGAAGTGGGAGCAATTCCGCGTACCAACTCAAGGCCCAACTTTAGTATCTTTTCCTTCCACCATTTTTCTTATGAGAAAAGGATGGCAAGGAAACGTGGATTTGACGATGATGGAGACGCATAGGAAGGGGAAACATCCTCTTTATGTGCGTTTCCTCCGTCGATTAAGGGTTGGCAACGCATCCGCTACTAAATGTCTAGGCAGCAGTCGCTTCGCTAGTTTGGCGGATTCAACTGGTGGCTTGCTCGTTTGCCACCTTATGATATAAAAATTAACACTAGCTAACTATCCCGGATCCGTCAATGGTTTTAATTCTTTATTTATAAAAAACAGGAATATAATAAAGTGCTTACATTCATTGTTTATTAGTAATTCAGTTTAACGGTAACTCTGGATATATGAGACATGAGAAAGAAGTCGCACGTAGTCAGTACTTTTGCAATATAGTGTACTATGCGGCAAAAAGCGTGGCGTACGCGCCGGCGCCTGCCAATGCCACTTAATTGTATAAGTACAGTCACCGACAAAAGTGTTAATAAGAATACATACAATTATTTTTTATCTTTATTAAAAGAACAGTTTAAGTTACTTTAACTAATGAATACAGTGACAACTATCAACGGATCTTACAAGAGATTAGCTTTCACCCGCGATTTTGTCCGCGTGAAATTAAAAAAAATCATATATAAAACATAGTATATGTTACTCACTGACAAAGTAGCTTCTTAATGGTGAAAGAATGTTTGAAATTGGCCCAGTAGTTTTTGAGTTTTTTCATTACAATAAAACAAACAATTTCCTCTTTATAATATTAGTATAGATCTAAATCTTTTTATCGCACGTATCAACTTGTCTAAGCGACTGTACTAAGAAGGCCTCAAGCGACGCCGCACCGCATCGCAAGTTAATTTTTGCGCCGCTTTACTTCACTATTCTAAGAAGCATCGCCAATCGTTAATACTAACTTACTAAGATTAATTCAACCAGGTTGCTTTCCAAGTAATGTCTTAATTGTATTATACTATCTCGTTGAATGAGGTTAGATAAAGGTCTTTGCTAGATAAAGTCTTGTTTAGAATTAGCTAGCTGTCGCCCGCGACGTCGTCCGCGTGGCATTAGAAAACATACGAACTATATAAATAACAAAAAGCCACGTATCTCTCGGGAACCGGACATTTCTCGGGGATGAACCTTTTGTACTTCAGACTTTGTTTTATATCTGCCAAATTTCAATAAGATATGTTGAACCGTTGCAGAATGATTGAGTAAACATTAAAAAACTATATTAATGAATCCCACGGGAAAAGAAACTATTCCCGGTAAAAAATAACCTATATGTTCTTCCAGACTATGCTCTAAACCTGTGCCAAATTTCATGGAGATGCGTTCAGCCGTTTAGGCTACAATCACTAACAAACATCCATCCATCCATAGTAACTTTCGCATTTATAATATTTACTAGCTTTCGCCCGCGACTCCACCCGCGTGGTATTGAAAAAAACAAAAGTGAATAGCCTATATGTTCTTCCAGACTATCCTCTACATCTATGCCAAATTTCATCGAAATCCGTTCAGCCGTTTAGGCTACAAACTCTAACAAACATCCATCTATCCATCCATCCATCTCATTTATAATATTAGTATGATATAATGTAATATATCTTTATATGATTGTAAAGTACACTTCGATATAGGGAATAAAAATAACCAGTGTGTTTATTATTTTTATATTATTAAAACTAACTGCCCACACTATTAATTGGTCATTCCAGGAGTTCCTAAGCGTAGATAAGTTGTAGAGTGGGTTGATTTGACCACAACTATCCAAGTATGTATTGAACCCTTTGATGTAGAAGTTGTCCGTGTGCGTTCAAGAATCGAGCCTACAATTTCCTCAAAGTCGGATTCAGATGTCCGTGAGCGTCTTGACAACCTCTGTGTTCCCTCTGCTTTTCTTTTAAAAAGGGGGATGGTTTCAGGCAACGCATTCAGTCACATCAAAGTGCCAGGATTTGCAGTCTTTTTTATTTACTTAGCAAATTTAAAATATCAAAATCCCCTATATATTATAAAATATACTAGCTGCATAAAATTATGAAAAATTCATTTTATTGTTTACATTTTTCATATTTCAAATGTCAAAATGACATGTCATGATGACAACCATGCTTCCTTGATGTTAGCACTAACTTATGGTCTCTTTCCAACATTAGGGTTTTTATCCAAAATATTTACCGCCTAAGTTTAATGGCGTTAAAATATATAGTACTTGCTGACATCTTAGGCAACAAAGAAGTGTGTGTTTACTCTTTATTATAATAGTATAGAGTATATATAAAAAAACTTAATAAAACACATAAAGTGATCGAAAAGCATTTATGCTGATCAAATATACATTTGAATACAATGAGTGTAAAATTAATAAATATATCTTATCGAACAGGCTTATCTTAGCTATTTCCGGAAGGTATAATCAACAACAAAGTGGTTTATTACATTAATAGATTAGTTACTTGCTTTCCGATAGTTCCTAATTTATTCGATAGCTTTCGCCCGCGACTTCGTCCGCGCGGAATTAAAAATATTCTTACACTATACTACTGCATTCTATAAAATTGTTACACTGCACCCGTGGACAAACCAATCATTTGGTTTTTTATGGCTATATCTGTAAAATTTCAATAACTAATAGTAACTAATATTGTTAATGCGAAATTAGACGGATGTTTGTTACAGTTTGTAACCTAAACTGCTGAACGAATCTTGATGTTTGGTTTAGATGTAGAGGATAGTTACAGAGATACCTTTGTTTTTTTAATTCCACGCGGACGGAATCGCGGGCGAAAGCTAGTCTAGAAAGTTAATAATTGACAATCTAGTTTTATAAGAGCAACAGAATATTCGAAATTGTTTAAGCAATCGTAGTAAGGATTAAAATTAATTTCCCTTGTAGTTCGAAATTATTGTTAAAGAAACACATCTTAATTAAATTTCTTAATATTTTTGACACATTTTAGTTTTAAAAATCATTAAAGAACCTTTAATTATAAACAAACTTGCTGTTACCCGCGACTCCGTCCGCCTGGAATTAAAAAAAAATAAAAGTTAGTAGTCTACGTGTTCTTCCAAACTATCCTCTAATGCTAAATTTCATCGAGGTCCGTTCAGCCATTTAGCCAACTCTAACAAACGCCCAACTAAACTTTCGCATTTATAATATTAGTATGATGTACGACTCTAAATTTATTTATAGGTTAGAAAATGTCCAATTTGCACGTTATAACAGTAAATTCAATTATTTAAAGAATGTAAGCAGGGTTTACACTGGCGGACGTTCGTCGCATTCTGCGGAACGCGTCTAGCGGGTAGCCGTGTAAACCAACCTTTAATTCACCTAATGGGTGTTATAATTGGAAACAAACATCCCGGATACGTGTAAAATATGTACATTAATTGTTAATTCTTAAACGCTTAGATCTCTGTCTAAAACACACCTATATAAACTGACTATTTACTGTTAGAGGTAGAAGTACTATTTACTGGCTGATAGAAGCTCAGATAGCTTAAAAATAACGTCACTGTCAAATAAATCAAAATCCGATATTTCTATCATATATTTTAATCCTTGCATTGTTATCAGACTATTTAGAATTTGGTAGGACAGCCCCTAAGACCGTTATTTTGTGTTTATTTGAATTTCGCCAGTTTGCCGCTAATAACATCGGTTGGTAGCGGTAATAAGGATTCTAATAAATCCCATACCTAACTTCTGAACGCGTTTTATTAAGCAAAAGTAAGGACTACTTACACTAAGAACGGAAATCGGATTTATTTTCTGATTAACTTTCTCTCGTGCCTCCGTTCAAGTGGCATTAAAAAAACAGAGATCCGTAGTCATTTCGGCGGCAAAAAAGACATCCATCCATCTGAAGTTTCTTATTTAATATTATTATCTCATATCTTTATTTTCCTTTTTTTATATATAATACATTTTACAAGATTACAAAAATAAAATAAAACATATTATATAAAAAATAGAGCACCACCGGCTGCGGAATCCGATGACTCAAGCAACCAGTGGTCAGGGCTGCAGAGACAGGAACCTCCTCACTAGTCGTGCGGTTTCTAAAATAACCGCCTTTTTTATTTAATATATTAGTAAGATAGTGAGAATGAAGAGACATGATATTATTTTAACTAGAATACAGACAAGTGATAAATTTGATTGATTTCTTTGATTACATTTGTTTTTTGTTCCTTAATGCAAAATTAATTCATTGATTTCAAGTGAAAAAGCTGAATGGTGGCGATTAAATTAGTATGATTAAGATTAAAAATGTATTTTCATGACAAATATAATACAATTAAGATAAGATAACTGTTAAGTCACTGAACAATAACTTCCTAGAAGTGTAACGAAAATATTTTTCATTCAATTCCTAGCACAGAGACGAAAAGAGCTCCGCTTCGTGACACAAAACGGGCATTAGGGTTATGATGGACAGAAAGAGGCCGTAAAATCTGTAAACCACATACATCTAAGCTTGTTAGTGTGGTATACAAAATCGACTTCCAAACAAAATACACGAAAAACAAAATATTCTCAAAAAAAACAGTACACTAAAAAGTAACGAAATAATTCCTTGAAAATAGTAAACCTACCTTATTGTAGTTCTTATGTCTATATTGTACAATTATTATTACTTTGTCGGTGTCAGCCAAGGTATGCAGTGATATTTATACGTAAGGGTTTCCACACCTTTACTATAACTATTAACAATTGTAAGTATAGTAACGTTTAAGTAATGAATCTACATTGACTTCAAAGTAATAATAATTATTACTTTGAAGTCGGTGTCAATACTCCTCTTTTGGGAAGTCGGTCAAAAAGGGAGAGCGATGGAAATCTCACCCAGGGCGTTAAAATTCCTGGCGAACATCAGAATAATTTGAATATCAAGGCAACACACACCTTGAACGTGACAAAGCTGCTATTGTGTACAGACGAAAACTCTGCAATCATCTTATCTTATAACAAACATTGCGACAACCATACTTTAATACTTAACTTATCATTGAATTATGTAAAGAAACAGAAGATCGCAGTATTTTTCTTAACTAATTAAATATAAAAAAATAGAATAAATAAATTGTACACTCCAACGCGCATGAGTTGAAACAATTTGACCTTGAAGCGTTTGAAAGTTACGCACAAAACGAGCGAAAGAGATAGTAGGAGATGCAAATATTGTTGTTGTTGACTCAAATGACTTTGTTGAAGTAATTAATAAAAGGTGAAATATGTTGTAAGCTAGGTTTTTCTGATATTCCGACTATTACAATAATACGGTGATATTTAAAAAATAAATTAACTGTATTACCTCACATATTTATATTATAAATGGATATACCATATTGGTTATTGAAATATAAATTTAATCAAAAGCATTTAAAACTAATGAAATTCCTTTATTAAATTATAAATAACAACACGTAAACATATAATACATACCCTGTTATACAGACGAATGATCAATTTTTTACATACTTAATTACAAAATAGCAATTCTTAACATAAAATAAATTTTTGCTTGTATTTTTACAGTAGGCGCAAATTGTAAACTTGCATTGAAGATTTCTTAGTCCTACTTAACTACAACTATGTTCTAGTTACAAAATAATTATTATGGCCTTGTGAATTTTGGACTAGTATTATCTTTTTCTAATATAAATACGAAATCTCAGGTATTCACTTATGGACACAAATGAAACAACATTTGTTTTTCTATTTCAATGTAATATCGGAACAGTTACTACTTGGAAAGAAAACTGGCGATTCCGGGTAATATTGTACCGAATGCGTATTCATTTTGTCCGTAGTTTTCAGAATGTTCTGGAGCAAATTTTGTTGTTCCAATAGTAAAGTATTCAAGTGTCTCATCTCTTGATCTATTTTCTTTAAATTAAACGTCGTCTGATCGATTTTCTCCTGCATTCCTCGCAATTCTATGTTAAACACGTGATCGTTTCCTTGAGATTCCTTCTTAAACTTCGAAGAATATTTATTGTTATACAAAATTTCTTTCACAGATCTCCCCGCCTTCACTTTGTTTATTTGCGCCAATTCGTATGCAGCCATCATAATATCTGTTGGTAATCTCTTCTCTCTGGGATTCAATGGTTTTACACTTAATATAACTTTACCAGCTTCAGGTGAAACAAGAGCCGTTCTGTAAACATACTTATGTAGACACTTAGGCAAAAGGGCGCTGAATAAACCCATTTCTACAAACAAAATCAATTTAGTCTGTCGCACTAGCTTGGACAATCCTGCTGTTTTTCGTAGACCTTGGATATCGTGAACTGCTATACCAACTAGCAAGTTCATTAATATTATAGTAACAAACATGAGGAATAGAATAAATATGAACTGAGCAGACAATTCGAAAATTAAGGGCGGATCATCCTGCATCGGATCGTTTATCAATATGTTCAAATTTAACTCACCAACCATCATTGAGAGTGTACTTATAAAACCCATTAGCGGATTAGAAAACATCTCTTCATTCGGGAACACGACACAGAAGCATATTGTAAATCCGAGAAGTAAGCAAATGTAAGCTAACAACAGTTTTAGAAATTCTGACAGAACTTTCTGGTACATCGCCACATAATCACCAAACATCGGCAGTTGACCCATTAGTAACATTAAATTTGTCCAAGCACCAAGAACGGCGTAGCCACCGACATGATTTTGCCAACCGTAGTCTTTCTGTATGTTGTACAAAGAAAATACAGATAACAAAACAAACCATTCCATCAAGTTTTCGAATGTACTGAAGTACTGATATATGCTAGAGTACCCAGTTATGCCTGTAAGCTTTCTGACTATTTCAAATGCCGTGATAGCGATAAGTATCCATCGTTCAAATTCTATTGGATTATCTTCTAAAATATCACCGAGTAATGATTGCTTCTGACATAATTCGTTGAGCACTCCATATTTCTTGGAATAATTTCCTTTACAAGTCTTAACAACCGCTGTCAATGCATAAATAGACAGGAACGAAACAAACAGGAAGCAAAATATGAGTCTCGCTAAATAGAATTTTCTTATCTTTCGCCATTTCATAAATAGAAAAGCTGAGCAAAGAGGGTGGAGCAAAATGTCTTTCTGTCCCTCATCAATCAAACTGTTCAAATAAGTTATCTCACGTGGATAAGAGAATTTCAATAATTTTCCGAAATCAAATTCTATTTGCACTTCTTCGTTACTTTCTGTAGGACGACTTAATGAAATACCTGTGTCGAGATTATGTCTCAATATAGCAAGTGACTTGGGAGTTTTTCGAGCGATAACACTGAGCGCTGTGTGTCCTTTCTTTGATTTAGAAGTAACATCTGCTCCTAGAAATATTAAAGTCTCTACACATTGAGTCAAACTATCCATAGCAGCGAGATGTAATGGGGAATATCCATATTCATCTTTCTTATTTACTTGCGCGCCCCAACTGACGAGCATGTCTATTATATCGCTGGCACGATCCGAGCGACAGATACTCGCATGAAGTGGTGTTCTCTTGTCATAGTCTTCGGAATTAGGATCTGCATTACCATCCCTTAGCAGAACTTCAACGCACTCAAGACTGGAACACCTCGCTGCAAGATGCAGCGCTGTGAAACCTCTGTAGTTTTTTGTATTAGCCTTAGCACCATCCGCCAAAAGAATCTCCACACATTCGGAGTAACCTCTAGCTGCAGCTAAATGTATAGCTGTACATTCCTTGTCCCTTTGCTTAGTAACACCATTTACACTTATTCTAGTTTCTTTTAATAAATATGCTAAACAACGTTGTGCACCAAGTTCTGCCGCAAGATGAAGAGCGTTCAGACCACCGGATGTGGCGTATGCCGGGTCGACACCTTTTTCAATAAAAAGTTCCATACATTCGACTGCATCAGCTCGTACTGCGCAGTGAACGAGATTATCCTCACAACCGGCTCTCTGCACCACTGAATGTAGCGAGGCGCCGTTAGCAATTAATATCTCAGCAACTTCCAAACAGTTTCCGAAAGCAGCGCAATGAAGAGGTGTGAAATATTTGGGTGCGAAATCTACATCAGCTCCACTAGCAATTAAATATGACACAGATCGCACCGAGCCACTGAATGCCGCCACATGCAGAGCTGTCAGCCCAGCCGGCTCCGTGTAGTGAATGTCAGCTCCTCCATCTAATATCGCAGGTAATAATTCATCTCTGGTTAAAAACGCCGCCCACAATAAAGTTAAATTCACAACTATCTCAGGCGCTGAACTAATATGTTCTTCAATGTTGTCCGCAGTTATCAATCCACATTCTACGTCATCGAAGAAACGCCCGGCACCCAGGGTTAGAGCCTTTTCACATAAACCTCTTCTAACCATTTCTTCGGTTAGTCTGGCTTCAGGGTCTGGTGCCAAGACATCGAAGCTGTGGTACATATTAGGTGCATCTTCCGCAGGAGGAGAAGGTCCGACAAACAAATACTCCTTAGCCTTGCCG